TTAACTTTTTCGTTAAATACCGTTAATTCGCCGTTAGTCTAATTATAATATTAACGTCTAATATAGAATTATAATTACACCATTAATCTAATTCTAATATTAAAGTCTTAATAGAACTTAACCACAAATCCTAATGTCGAAATCTCCTCAAACAATAGTAATATATATTTAATATTTTATGCCCTAATTTTTATTTGTTCTCCCTTATGTCCCGTATTTGGTTTCAACCATACCTATACAATTATTTTATTGACAATTATAATCAATCTTGACTATATTATCTTGCATTTGTAAACTTAGAATTACCTATTTAACCCGCACGGGCTTAGCTCAATGGTTTAGTGGGCAGTATTTGGGAGAAGAGACCAAGGTTTGAACCTCGGCGGCGGCAGTGCGGGAATTATGTCCAAAGTGGGCAGATTCCTTGTTCGCACTGGCATTTGGTCCTGTCTGCTGAACCATTGAGTCACCGTGATTTACAACTTCCTACAATGCTCTGTCGGGTCAGAGTGTGGGGGGCCCTTGAGGTAGGGGACTCAACCTTTGGGAGAATAATTACCTATTTAAATAAGCAAATTCAACCTTCAATTATCTATGCATGAACAATTTCAATATAATCTTGCCTTAATATACTTTAAAGTACTTATTTAAAAAAAAAAAAAAAAACATTGGGCATTATCCCAATCGCGCAATGCGCGTAAAAAACTAGTTATAATAATAAATCATAATTAATGATGCAATGTGGACCTTGGTCCGTATCTCCATGATATAATTTGCTAATCATTATACCATGGATCATGATCAATCTTACAATAAGGAACATTAATATAACTATATAAGGTTCATTATTAGTATATAAAATGTTAATTTTTATATTGAATACTTAATTCATTGAAATTTTTTTTTTCTATAGGAATGTTCATTTTTATAAGATACAATATAAAAATGATTATTCAATACATTAAAAATGAACATTTATTTGTGGTCCTCATTACAAATTTACAATGCATAGTCAATAATTAATTTGTCATAATCAATAGTTATTGCGTGGACCTTGGTCCACGGTGTGGACCACAGTCCAAAAACGATATCGTTCCATGCAAAATAAAAAATAAAAAAATTCACGCGATCCACTACAACATACACTTTTATAACTTGTAATGTACATTATTCTAACTTATAAAGTACATTATTCTAAGACATATTGTACATTATTCTAATTTCTAACACATATAATATATTCTTTTAACTCATAATATATATTATTCTAACTCATAAAATTTAACAATATCATTTTAGAGTGTGTTTCCCACAATAATTTGCCGGCCTACCAATAGCAACATGGACCAATTTATGATCGTAAGAGCATCCACACTTGTGCATATTGTGGGGAGATTTCAGCATTAATTCTTCCCTACATGAGATAATAACTAGTGTGGAGGGGGATAATTGAAAAATAATTGTCCTGCAAATGTGAGGATATTGTCAAGAAAAAAAAAAAAAAAAAAAAAAAAAAAAAAGAAGCAAGGCTGTGCGCGTTCGCGCACAGCCTTGGGCAAACGCCGGGCGCGTGCAGTGCGCTGATTATTATTATTATTATTATTATTTTTTTTTTCGCTCCCCTCCCACATTCTCTTTCCTAATCACTCTTACATTATCTCCCCATTCTCTCCAACCAATGTGGATGCTCTAAAGCAGATCACGACGTTTACGTACACATATGATTGGAAGTGTCTGTATGCACACAAATCCGCCCAACTTCTTAATCATGCATCAAGAATATCAACCCGCCTTTCGAAAGCATATGGTTGAATAGGTAAACATGATTTTTGTAATTAATAACATTTTATTGGTCGAATTCATGTATTGAAAATATATTTTATTAATGTTTGATATATACATTTATTAGTATACTTTTGAAAAAATCTTGGTTACAATGAGAATTGCATCAAGGATTTAAGTCACCCATTGCATAAACCCGATTTGTTTCTATGAAAATATGGGAAATTGAGATTTTTAAATGCTTTGTGTACTTGTTGGACTTTAAATTGATACGTCACGAGGGTGGGGCAATTCCTTGTTCTAATCCTGGTTTATTTGCTCATGGAAGTGGCTTTATATTAGGATACTTATGTGCATTCCTGTTTGATTCCGTGGTTATTTGTTCTTCCTAATCCCATATATTGTTGAAGCATCTGGAAGATAATGCACCATAGCTTGAGTCTTATTTTTTTATAAAAAAATTGTGTTTATCTTTTGTCGATATGTGTTTGTCTTACCTTGTTATGAGTTGCTTAGCTTATTGTTGATTGCCTAGTGCTAGTGTTTAGTTGCCTGCAATTACATATTATGTACATAACTCCCAATCCCGAGAAAACGACAAAACACCCGTTTTACTCCTAGCTACACCAAATTTGCTCAATTTTATTTACATAATTGTATGCAAGTTGAAGTTCAACTAGAATTTTAATCAAGTTTACACTACAAGAAAAATGCACATAGACAACACTAGAAAGACAACAGTTGTTAAGAAAAGTGTTGTCTTTTGTATAAAAGACAACAGTTTGGTACAAAACCGTTGTCTTTGATGCAACACTTTTGTCAAAGACAACGGTTTTTACTTAACCGTTGTTATAAGTGTGTTGTCTTTGTGCATTTTGTGAAAAGACAACACCACAACGACAACGGTTTTTTAAAACCGTTGTCTATGTGCGTTTTTTTTTAAATAAGACAACGGTTTTTTTAACCGTTGTCGTTGGTGTGTTGTCTTTAAGTGCACTGGAATACACAACACTAGAAAGACAACGGTTGTTTAAAACCGTTGTCTTTGTGCGCTCTTTTTTTTTAAAAAAAGACAACGGTTTTATTTAACCGTTGTCGTTGGTGTGTTGTCGTTAAGCGCACTCGAATACACAACACTAAAACGACAACGGTTTTATATAACCGTTGTCGTTGCGCGTTCTTTATTTGTTTAAGACAACGGTTTTATTTAACCGTTGTCTTTGGTGAATACACAACACTACAAAGACAACGGTTTTAAAAAACCGTTGTCTTTGCGCATCATTATTTAACAGGTATATAAAAAAACAACAAGGATGTTAACAACAAGAATTGAACCTATGATCTCAAACTTAACAAATAAGCAATCTAACCAACTAAGCAACACAAACTCTTATGTTTAAAGGTGCAACATTTGGTATATAACTGGGTTGCTTCTATGTTGTTTGTGAAAACCAAGACAACAATTTTAGAAAATAGTTGAAGAATAGAACCTAAGACCTCTAACATAATAAACTAAGCTAAACTCACCAAGCCATACCAACACTTGTGTAATGAAACGCAAAATCTAGTATATTACCAGTTTGCTTATGTGTTGTCTTTGAGAACCGAGACAATGATTGTATAAAATAGGTTAAAAATGCCACCACAAAGGATAGAACCTAAGACCTTTAACATAACAAACAAAGTTAAATCCACCACACCACACTAACTCTTATGTATTAAAGTGTTACACCTTATCTTTTACCTATAATTTAACAAAGAAAGAATACAATTCAAAAGTTAATTTAATAGTTCTATTTTCGTTCATATTTAAATATAAAATTATTCACCAAAATTTCAAAGTAAATTCATTAAAGTTTTATTTTCAATTATATTACAATTAAGACCAATCTATGAATTCAAAATAATAATAATAATTATCAAGTACAAAAAACAATATGGAGTGGTGTTCATAATGGTGTGGTATGCTGTGTAGGGGTTAAGGGCGGTATGATAGGGGCCGGGGTTGGTAATCGACTATTCCGGCTAGCGCATGACTAACAAGGTTAGCTATATGTTGGTAATCGACCCTTCCGGCTAGCGCATGACTAACAAGGTTAGCTATATGTTGGTAATCGACCCTTCCGGCATGCCTGGGACACGTTGAGAATGGATATGAAAGAGTAGTTGATTGATGCCGTACAGTTAGCTATATCCCATTTATTTTGCCGCGATCTTAATTAGCTCTATGTTCATAATTACCAAACTATATATTCATAATTGCAAGAAAGTTGTTGCTCTTCATAATGATTGAACTCTATATATATTCACAATTATAGAACTCTATGTTCATAATTTTCGATGTTCATATTCCCAATTGTTGAACTCTGTATTCACAAATCACAAAACTATGTGTTCATAATTTGATAACTATACCGTTTAGTAATTATAAATCAACAATACATAAATTATGAATCTGCAGTATAGAAATTATGAATCTACTGTATTTAAATTATGAATCTACTGTATTTAAATTATGAATATACGATTTAGAAATTATGAATCTAGAGTAAAGATTTTATAAATCTACAGTACAGAATTTATGAATCTACAGTATAAAAATCTATGAATCTCGCGTTCTGTACCTATATACCAGGTCGGTACTATTTTGGGTATAGCGACCTGGGTAATAAAGCTAATATTTTCTTACCCGAGTTCTACTACATGTACTCCCAAATTCTACTCCATCACTTGTACTCCATGACATGGGAAACAAAGATTGGATATTTTCATCATGTGGGTCCCATGAAATGTGTCAATATCAAGAATTTGTGAGAGGAAGTACAAATTGAGAGTAAGAAATGAGAGTACATGTAGTATTTTCCTTTATTACCTTGTTCTATATCTATATTGCTCGGTTTATGGTGGACCTGATCCCTATAAAACCATGAATATACTTATTTAATTTAGAAAAAATGAATGTTTATTATAAATTTCGTTATTTTCCTAATTATATTAGTACATAGTATATTGTTATGTTATTTCCCTCTTTACAAAATCAAAATAATTCCTTCAAAATCATATTAGATATGTTATTTTTTAAATTTTGACTTTTAAGACTTTCACAATTTGTAAAAAAATTCCTTTCCCTCTCAAATAAAATAATTCCCTCTCAATTGACACTTAAGTGGGAAAGAAGAAATTAAAACAAAAACAAATTTCTGACACCAAAAAAAAACAAAAACAAATTCCCTCCCCAGTGCAGAACAGTCGAAGTCGAAGTCGAGAGACACTTCAGCTCAACCTCCGCCGCCGACAGTGTCGTTGCCGCCTCCAACCTCCTCTGCCGCAGTCGCTCCAACCGCCGCTACTCCGACCGTTGCCGCCGTGAAGAACTCAAAACACTTCAGCGAAAAATTGAAGGTTTTTCTTTTCTCTTGTAATGTAATAAGCTATCAAATTCATCCAAATATTAACTGATTGTATCAATGTGTGTGTTTATACTAAACACTTTTGGATTGAAGCTAGGGTTGGGGAATTGGGGTTTGAATTTTTAGAGGATTTTGTTGATATCTGAGTTTGAGTTTAGGGTTTGTGAAATATGGGATTAGGGAGTGTGTTTAATACTCATGTGTGGCCAATAGCTCCATGGATGATTCTATGTGCACGTGTATTAATGTCATTTATGAAAAATCTTTACATTTGGAAAATTTGTCTACTTTAATGGATAGAATTCTTTTTTTTTTACGGTAAGAGAATTCATTTACATTTACAGGCTAACTTTCATCTAGAGGATATTTGGCCTACAGTCTTCTGTTTAACATTTAAGTGCAGATCACTTTCTGCATTTGAAACATTATATATGTTTTCCTTGAATCCAACAGGTTTGGAGGCAGAAGAATATTTTAAAGCCAGCTCCTGGTAAGAGGCGATGTAACTGCCGCAATGAGGTTTACCACAGGCAAATTGGTCCAGGGATGTTTCAGCAGATGACAGAATAGGTACTGTTTCAAATTCATTGAGATCATTAACAAAGTTGAGTAATTGTATTCTCTGGACGATGACATAGCATATACATGGTACCAATACTAGGCATATATGTTCTCTTGAGCTGATTCTAGATTGTAGCATATACAGGGTACCAATACTAGGCACAACATGTTTCATTTTACTTGAAGGTTTTGCCATCCCTAAGTGATAAAAATGGAGCTCCCCTGTTATCTGAACTTCGACGTTTATGGGCAAATTATAAATCAATGGTGAAATGCCTTGGGGGATTTTACTTGTACCATGATCAGAGGTTTTCTGACCGCGAAAGTGCTGCACCCCTTTCTGAAATTTCAGTTTGCTGTTTCCATGACTTGGTGGTACTTTTATATACTGTTGTATTCTTTCAAATTCCTAATGGGTCTTATTTTTTTGGTCAATCATTGCTTGATTTATTTCTCTATTTCAGGTCTGTACTGCTTTCCTCCAAAAATTTATAGATGCTGCTATATTACTGGTAGAGTTACTTAACTGCCTATTTAGTAGCATGAAAATTTTTCTATTTTACAACTCCATACTCCTAAAGTGGGCCAACTTGAAAAAAAAAAAAAAAATCCTTACTCCACTATCCACCCATATTTTCTAGTTTTCCAAATTGGAAAAAGTTTTCAAAATGTTCTCCAATTTCCAAAAAGGAAAAAAAAAAAGGGGGGGGGGGGGGGGGGAAATGGAAAATGAAAAGCAAAATCCACTTGAACACAAACTCTTTTTTAACATTTTTCCAGAAAAGTTCACTGAATGCATAATGTTTCCAGTTTCAAATTCATTATATCATTAACACAACTTGATCTGACTAGTGAAATATTCACATATAGATCACACAAGACCGCAATGGGGCAGCCAACTGACCAGACCTTTCTACAGAGTCTTTCAAACTTTTTCAATGAAGTTGGAGGGAAAACAAGACCATTCTGCTATAACAAGTTTGAGGAGGCAATACTTGTAGACACAGGCAATTACTACTCTCAAGTAACTCGAGAATGGCTACTGAATTATTCTTCAGCAGAATATGCATCTAAGGTTCATATGCTTTATGTATTATTTTTGTCATGCTTAAGTCATATTCCTTTCATATTTTTTCACATTAAAAAACCATGAAAAAGTATTTTAGTTTCCTCAATGTCTGGGTTGGGGGTTCTTTTTTTTTTTTTTTTTAATTTTTAGGCTGAACAGTGTTTGAGGGAGGAAAGAGGAAGAGCATGCAAAATTTTGCATCCACCTAGAGTAGAGAAGCTTCTACAGGTATTTTAATTGATTCATATACTTGTCCAATTTCTACAAGTCTTGTATCATATGATTGTTGTTTGCATTCTGGAGTTTCAAGAGGTTTGAATCTTGGTCTTATGAAATAGTAAGGATTGGGGCTGAGATGATTTGATTGTAGATCTGAGACTTGAATTATGAGATTTTATCTATTCATCCTCAATAGATTTAGGGTTACACTTGTGTATTATGAATTTTCTTTGTTGTTTAATGACTGAACTATTCAGAATATGCTTCAAACTGGGCTTATTGTGCGCGGGATGGTGCCAGTGGTGGCGTAGTTCGGATTGTTACTGTGGGTTATTTCATTTAATTCCTGTACCTGAGTTTTCATATATTTGTATATTGTGTATCTATTTATTAGTCATTTGATTCTTGGATGGAAAATACAATTTTAGTGACAAAGATGCATACAAGAAAATACGAGCTGATGCTACACTTGTGCAGCTCTACACAGCCTTTGCATATGAGGGGCCTGCCTTTAACTCAAGATAAAGGTATTGTAAATTTGTGGTTTTGATTCATTTATTTAATTTAATTTTTTTTTTAATGAAAAATGTCATACAATGGATACATGACAACTTGTGAACAGGTGCAGAGTGGGGTTTCAATATACGCCCACTCTGACGGATAAGATGACCGGATTTTGGTATAAAAAGGAAGAATATTACAATGAGTTCTCGTCCCAAGATTGAAACTTTTTCTTGAATCTTGTTATACTCTAAAGTTCAATTCTATGCATTTGGTAATTTTCCTGCTTTTTGTTTCTTGTTTTTTTCTGCTGAAATGAGAAGATTTGATGGCCTAAAAATGCTGGAAATATGTTGAGGGGAAAAGATTAGTCTTTGTGAGGGATTCTCTAAAGGAACATGTGGGGTTCTATTGATAGATCATCTGAAAAAGCAGTTAATTTGCTGTTGTTTTGATCTGTACTTATGTCGTTCATGGAAATATGGAACAACTTCTTTAATCTAGGAATCTCTTTCCAGCAAGTTATTATATTATATGGCATTTATTTTGCATGGCTAACTTATTTCGCATGGGAATCTCTTTAATATGTTGTTCATGGCTAACTTATTTCTCATTTCATTGCAAATTTTTTATATCTATACTAATTTATTTTCTTACTTTTTACATGTAGTTTCAATAAGTTGATTATGACAAAGCGGTTATTGATCTGGTGCGATCTGAATGGGCCGATATTCTATCAAGTCATATAGAGTAGGTATGATTTGGTCATTCGAACATTGTGATCATTTGGACTTGAATTGGTTCGGGGAATTGTTTTTTGTGTAGTAGTATTATGACTTGGATGATAATTAGAATTGGTCATGGAAGTCTTTTGACTTGTTATTTTGAACCTTATTAGCTTGTGCACAATTATGTAACTACACTTTGCAACATATGGTGAATGGATAAATTGTTTTTTTTATACGATTATAATTTAAGCAGGTGAAAAACGGTTAAAAACCGTTATCTATTTTACAATAGACAACAGTTAGAAACCGTTGACTTTTCTACAAAAGACAACAGTCTATGGGTGTGACAAGCGATTTCAACAACACACAATAGACAACGATTTATAACTGTTGTCTTTTAAAGAAAAGACAACAGTTAAAAACCGTTGTCTATGTACGTGACTTTTAACAACACTAGTTTCAACAACGCTTAATAGACAACGGTTAAAAACCGTTGTCGTTGGTAGAAAAGACAACGGTTATTAACCGTTGTCTATTGCGTGACTTTTAACAACATCGGTTTCAACAACACTTAATAGACAACGGTTAAAAAACCGTTGTCGTTGGTAGAAAAGACAACGGTTATTAACCGTTGTCTATTGCGTGCCTTTTAACAACACCGGTTTCAACAACACTTAATAGACAACGGTTAAAAAACCGTTGTCGTTGGTAGAAAAGACAACGGTTATTAACCGTTGTCTATGTGCGTGACTTTTAACAACACCGGTTTCAACAACACTTAATAGACAACGGTTAAAAAACCGTTGTCGTTTCTAGAAAAGACAACGGTTATTAACCGTTGTCTATGTGCGTGACTTACAACAACACCGGCTTCAACAACACTTAATAGACAACGGTTAAAAAACCGTTGTTGTTTCTAGAAAAGACAACGGTTAAAAAACCGTTGTCTATGCGCGGGACTTACAACAACACCGGCTTCAACAACAGAAAGTATACCCCTACGACAACGGTTAATAACCGTTGTCTATGTGCATTTTTCTTGTAGTGTTAAAAAAATGTTAAAATTATACTAATGTTTTAACATTTGATACTGAATTACTAATTTTAAAAGCATTTGACTACAATTGTCACAAACAAATTTTGTACTTTGAATGTATGTTCCAAGATGCAATCCAAACTAATTGACCAATAAAAATAAAATTAATTTCATTGGTAGACAATAGTGCAAAACACTTGATTTATTTTATTTTTTATTTTTTTTGAAAATAAGGATGAAATAGGTCATTCAAGTATAAGTTAAAGTGCAATTAGCCCCTTGATTATAGTACAAAATAACAAACAAACACCCGGAGTATTCCGGGGTTATCAATTCATAGAAAGGTGAGATATTAAGTATTAGCTACTAATCTATTCACGAGAAGCTATTCAACCCAAAAATCTCAAAATAAGCCTTGTCAACCGTGGCTAACATAGTCTTCATTACACAAGTATTAAGGAAGATGCAAGAAACAAAGAAGCAAAAGAAAAGGGAAGATATTCTCCCGAATGATGTTCTTTCAAGCTTTTCCTTCGCCTTTTGGTGTGACTTGAAGCTCCAAACCTCCTTTTTTCTTTCTTGAATTTATTCTACACTTCAAAGGTGTGGGGATTCCTCCTTCTCCCTTTTGAGTGTGAAGAAATAGATTTTTCACTCTATTTGAACTTCCTAAGTTGCCACCCTCCATAGGGTTTGAAGAGAAATGATGTTTTATAGTGGGGTGGAAGATGGGGTCAAAATGTAATTTTTAGAACTCCGTTTTTTCACATGACAACATTCTTGACGCCTCGAGCCATTACATAATGAAAATGGACCATTCTGTCAACTCTCCACGCGTCGAGAATCGCTCTGCAACACAACTTCGATTTGTAGGCTTATTTTGACCCTTGTACCTTCAGAATTAGACTTTGAGGTCTTCATAAGATTTATAGTCCTTCGAGTTTTATTTTCAATGGAACAAGAATCTTAGGCTGAGATAGGGTCCAAATATCGAACAATGGTCAATATGTGTGAGAAGTTTAACTTCAATGCAAACATTTGGCACCAAAGGATATAAACAAATGAATTAAGGCACATTTTGGATAATACCAAAGTATTTTTTTTCACTTAAAATAGGTCTATGTATGGGGTAGAAATATGGACATGAATACACTTATCACCCCTTAAACCCAAACAAAAAATAAATAAATAAAAAACAAAACAAAAAACAAAAAAAAAAAAAAAAAACAAAAACAAAAAACAAAAAACAAAAAAAAAAAAACAAAAAAAAAAAAACTCAAATTAGACACATTAACTTCTATTTTTATGCAATTAAGTTAATTAACAGGTTACCTCTAGGTAATTGATAATTTTAAATTTAAAATTTTAATTAACATTAAAGAAAGCATATTTTTAATTCAAAATAATTAAATAACTATATATATATATATATATATATATATATATATATATATATATATATATATATATAACCTTCGGCAACAGCTTCTTCGTCCAATCGAACGGAGAAGCCAGCCTTGGCTTCTTGGTTTAGTTGGATGGAAAAGTCAGACTACCAACTTCTCCGGAAAAGCCGACAATATGTGTGTGTTTTTTTTTTAAATTCAATTTTACCAGCTATTACTTTAAGTTTACCAGCAAAATGAATTAATTGCACAAATTTAAGAAGTTATTGGTTAAATTACATAAAAGTGAAGAGATGGAGTGTCTAATTGAAGCTTTTCTTAATTTAAGGAGCTAATTACACTTTGACCTATAATTAAATGACATATTTGACCCTGCAAAACAATTTAGGGTGACCACACATTATACAAAACACTATTATGGCGTGTTTGGTTCATGGAATAGGTCGGGAATAGACCTATTCCATTGTTTGTTTTGTCATTTTATTCAAGTTAATAGCGTTCCCGGGAATGAGCTATTCCCAAGTATTTGGGAATAACTTTAGTACTATAATACCGAAAATACCCTACCACTGCAACAACTGCCGCCGTCTCCACCACCACCATCGCCACAGCCACCACAACCACAGCTGGCACTGCTACCACCACCTCCACTGCCACCACCGCCACCACCACCTCCACTGCCACCACCGCTACCACCACCACCACCAACACCAACACCAACACATATTTTTATAAGGATATTTATGTCTTTTGAAACATATTTCATTCTATTTCTTAAACCAACCAAACACTGTAATATAATTCCTAAAGTCTATTACTTCCGCGAACCAAACAATAGAATATAATTTATTTTCTATTCTTTGCATATTCCATTCCTTATGGAATAACATTCCTATTACCTCAAAATTCATTCTGTAAACCAAACGTGCTATAGGCTAACCAGTAACCACACAGTATGGAAAATTCCCTGTCATAAAAAACTATTAGGCTAATCATAAAGAACTATTAGGCTAACGACTACATGATTGATCTTATTTCATATACCCACATTTGAAAGTGTATGAAAATTGAATGGATACAAATAAAATTGTGATAAACTGAAAATATAATGATATATACAATTATGTGATCTACTTTATATTTAAGAATTGCATGGATGCGGATTAGAGGTGTAAATGAGTCGAGCCCAGTCTAAATAGTCAAAGTTCAAAACTCGAATCGATTCAAAAAGTTAAAGCTCGAGCTCAATCAAGCTCTAATTTTCCAACCTCATCAAGTTCAAGCTATTTGAGCTAAGTTTAGATACCTTCACTAAATAATTGTTCTCTATTTTTTATGTAACAACAATAATTTTACATCCAAATGTCATAACCAAACTTAATATTACATCTCAATTATATTGATTTTATAATTTATATACTCCGTAACATATAACATTAGGGCGGCAGACTTCCTGGACCTCCATTTTCATGATCCCGCCATTGCGTACTATCTTCAAAACGCTCTTAACCAACACCGCCGGCGATCGCGAAATTGCAGTAGAGCCTTTTCCGTCTTCGCTTCTGATACTGCAAATCCTCAAATTCCCCATTTCAGTTCCGTCGATCTTTCCGGTCGCGTCTTAGGTCGCCGACTGATGGAGAAGTCAGGGTACGGCGGCGACGGCATTTATAGATCTCTAAGGCCGCCATTAGTGCTCCCTTCAGACCAAAACCTCTCAATGGTCTCATTTCTGTTCCGGAATGTCTCTCAGTACCCAGATAAGCCGGCCCTCGTCGACGCCAACTCCGGCCGGACTTTAACTTTCTCCCAATTAAAATCCCAAGTCTCAAAAGTCTCGCATGGGTTAATGCATCAACTGGGCGTACGGAACAACGACGTCGTTCTGATCTTCTCTCCCAACTCCGTTGAATTCCCCCTCTGCTTCTTCGGTATCGTAGCCATCGGCGCCGTAGCCACAACGGCCAACCCGAGCTATACAGTTTCCGAGCTTTCTAAACAAGTCAAAGATTGTAGCCCCAAGCTCATCGTCACCGTTCCTTTTTTGCTAGATAAGGTTAAAGGATTCAATTTGCCCGTTTTGCTTCTGCGTCCGGAAAACGCCAATCTCGATAGAAGCAAGTCGGGTGCGGGTATTACGTTTTTCCACGACCTGGTTAGAAATTCCGGGTCATTGAATTTGGGTAGGGTTTCCATAAAGCAGAGCGATGAAGCTGCATTGTTGTATTCCTCGGGGACGACGGGGATTTCCAAAGGCGTAGTTTTGACTCATCGGAATTTCATCGCAACAGCTAAAATGGCGGCTTCCGATCAAGACGCGGCAGGGGAAATCCACAATGTATTCCTGTGCGTGTTACCCTTGTTTCATGTATTCGGTCTTTCTGTTATCACGTATTCGCAGTTGGCAAGGGGGAATGCCATTGTTATTATGGAGAAGTTCGATCTGAATATGACTCTGAAGAATGTGGAGAAGTATGAAGTGACGCATCTGCGGGTCGTGCCTCCCATTTTACTGGCCATGGCTAAGAGTAGTTTAGTGAAGAAGTATAATCTGAAATCCTTGAGGCTTATCGGCAGCGGGGCTGCACCTCTGGGTAAAGAATTGATGGAGGAATGCGCCAAGAATTTCCCGCACGCCATTGTTACCCAGGTATCTTCTTACTTGTGTGTTGTGAATTTATGGTTTCTTTTTGGTGACACAAGAAGTTAATTGGATGTTAAAAGGAAAAATGAGTGCAGATAAGAAAAGAAGTCACAATTGCAGGGATATGGCATGACAGAAACTTGTGGAGTTATCTCATCTGAGAATCCAAACATTGGCCGGAGACACACTGGATCATCTGGAATGCTTCAACCTGGAATTGAAGCTCAAGTAGTTAGTGTCAGTGAACTGAAGCCTCTTCCTCCTGGCCAAATAGGGGAAGTATGGGTGCGAGGACCTAATGTGATGCTAGGTAGATGAAGTCATTAAATGCTGTTAATTTTAATGTTGTCATACATATGATTCTGAATGGTGTTCTGTGTTTTTTTCTCTTAATGTGATTGGACCAGAGTCAAGATTTCATAATTCTAAATATTAATTAGGTGGGGCAATCCAACCAAGTTAGTCAGATTGTTGGTTTGATAACCACAAGATTCCAAGCTCGACTCTCAGTGGGAGCGGCCTATTTGCCTTCTTGGTTTGAGTTGATCAGCTTATTGGTCTTTTGCCGGCTAAGGTCTCAAGGCGGGATTTAACCTGCACACCCTCGGGAACGTAGTTGTGGGTTCCCTCGTCATCCAAAAAAAAATGATAATTAGGTGCAAAATAGACTCAAAAACCCACATTCTGGACCTTTTATGTTTAAGCAAGAATCCATATCTTTAAAATTCAAAAATCTAACCAAGCTACAGAGAGCAGGTTTTTATTTTAGGAAGAATGTGGACAAAAAATTGAAAATTTGGAATTGAGAGAGTAGATGCAGTCTAATGCAGTTAATGTCGTCTTGTATATAGTTCTCAGGATAGTGTTCTTCTCTGCAATCTTTTTTAGATTTATTCTGAGTTATATATGAAGATTGGTTTTAAGATAGTATTTGACTATTTCGTTTCACCCGGTTTAACCTTCAAGGCATATCCATCTCATAACAAGTTACATGCTTGCAATGCATATGCTATATCATGTTTTCAGCATTGAGTTCATGACAAGCATATTCTTTCTGAATGTGGAAACATGCCTATTTGTCATTTTTCAGGTTATTACAACAATCCACAGGCCACCAGTCTTGTTATAGATAAACAGGGCTGGGTCCATACTGGTGATCTTGGATACTTTGACGAGGAAGGACTGCTATACATTGTTGACCGAATTAAGGAGCTCATCAAGTACAAAGGTTTTCAGGTAAGCTTTTGGTGGTACGGTGGTGCACAAAAGTACATAATAAGGTTCCCTAAAATTTGCTACGAGGAATGTTGTTTGTCTGATATCTCTTTCGATATTAAGACTTGAATCAATTAGTCAGGAATTCCAATAATCATTTTATGTAGAACTCGGCATTTTAACAGAACTTTCTTACCACATAGTTTGCTATATATGTACATCAATCAGCTTCAATAATTCTTAGAGAAATAGAGTAACTTGTACTAATACTGTTACCAGGTTGCACCAGCAGAGCTTGAAAGTCTGCTCATTTCTCATCCTGAAATAGTCGATGCAGTTGTCATCCCGTAAGTGGCATCTTGCAGTAGAATCTGTATACAGTATATATAGGCGTATATATAGCCACTTGAAACATGAAAACCCGTTAAATTTTATTAGAGGACTGGACTGAAGATAATAAGTTATATCAACCGCTTTTGCTTATAGGTTTCCAGATGCTGAAGCTGGCGAGATCCCAGCTGCATACGTTGTTCGCTCCCTCAACAGCTCGCTGACTGAGGAGGATGTCCAAAAGTTCATAGCAGATCAGGTATGTATTATAGCAAAAAATATGCCTTTTCTATGAAAGAAATAAGATGCAGTAGTTTGTTGAATTGGTCATTGTGTTTTCCAGATGAAAGTTTCCAATGGCAAATTTATTAGTTATTTGGTAACTATGTGAAAACAACATCTTAATTAGTAAATATGAAAATGATAGGATATTATGAATGACTTGCATAAACCCTTCATATAGGGTTTATACAATATTAATCAATACTCAATATAACACCAAATTAGCTAAATGGGATTAATCCTAAATAAAGCTAATTTGAATTCTTTGGGGGAATTCCTAAATAATTAGCAAAGTACTAGAGAGTACATATCATGCTTGAATATAATGGCTATAGGCCCTATTTGGTAACATATTTAGCTTATTTGACCACTATTAGTTATTTAACTTGGTTAAACAAAGCAGCTTTTTGAATCAGCTTTTTGAAAAAGTCATTTTGCATGTAATAAGCTATCAGCTAACAACTAATTTACCAAACATTTATCAATTAGTCAACCTCACTAACACAATTTGCTAACAACTACTTACCAAACATCTCATAATGCAGATAAAAGTTGATCAAAGTTTCATCTTTTTCCTTTTTAAATGTGTGTTCAGGTTGCACCTTTCAAGAGGCTAAGGAGGGTAACATTTATAAAAAGTGTGCCGAAATCTGCATCGGGGAAAATACTCAGAAGACTACTTATTGAAAAGGCGCGATCAAGAATATAATACAAATTAAATGCATTATATTATGTTGTTTAATGTACTTGATGAAATGTATAAACTAAACAATATAATGTAAGAATAAATGATACGGTCTATTATACTATGGAGTATTAGAATAAGAGTATAAGACAATATCTTTATGTTATTTAGATTAGAATATGTATATATATAATATGATTTAGAATTGAATAATTATATTTTCTTATATATAGGATTGGACTTTGCCTCTTTAATATATATAACCAAATTGTAATTAATTAAAGAATAGAAAGCAATCATATCATTTGTAAAATTGTAATAGCTCATATAATCAATAAAAATCAAACTCCATTTGGACGGGAAATGCAATATAATAATCATGAACATCTATATCATTAATTAAAACAAAAAATGGAAGAAATTAAATAATTGAAGAATAACCCATATAAATATTCGATCAGAAATAACAAACTAATGTCTCGGTAATTGAATCAAACATATAAAATGAAATGGATGGAGTAATTAATACTCCAATGGATCGGAATTGAAGAAGTGGAGTATGTATGTATATGAAGTATAGGTAGTATATGGAGATGGAAGAGAAAGCATACCTTCACACCATATTCCCTTCACATTCAACGGTATTGGTATTGGTGAAAGGAGGAGCCAAATCAAATCTCAACTTCTCACAATTTGCTATTCATAGAGTTACAAAACCGATCGAATTAAACTTCACCTAAACGCACCTTTAAATCATAGTGGCTGCAAATTTTCTGGTAAATGAAATTAAATATAACACATGAAGTATCAAAACACATCACTAAGCTAGTGACTTCATATATTATTCATAAAACCATTTTAAACGTATGTTTGTTTGTGTGCTAGCCTAAGTTAAGCTCACAAACAAATTAATTAAATTAAACTGTATAATAACCTAGCTTCTATATATGCAAATTAAATGCAAACAAAGACAACATAAGGGTTACTATATATGCTTTTTTATTCACATTATATTATTTTCCAAATCAAGTCTTACAAAAACACTCAAATCTGGTATTCATTTGTAAAACATACCTTTTCAAGGGAAACACCTTACCTTTTTAAGCGAATTGAATACCTGACATTATATTGAATTGGTGATAAAGGCACCCTGATGGTTATTCAACCAAGCAAAGCTAGCTAGAAGCGATTATACAGCAAGAGAATAGAGAGGTGGAAATGGAAATACAATACCTATATAGCGTACCCAGATATATAGTCTCCGGCCGGTGGTGATGATATATATATATATATATATATATATATATATATATATAATATTGTATGTATATATGTATGGAGTTGTATTAGTTGAAAGATATATCCAAAATGGCATTCACCTGCAGTTACTTCTGCACCTACTACCTACCTCAGCTTCATCCTCCGATTTCATCATCATTTTCCGGCCATCATGCGGCGGCGCATCCACAGCAGCTAGGCTGCGCTACCTAGAGGCCGGGGAAAGTGCAGGTGCAGGTGTAAATGCAGACAAAGGCTACATTTTGGTTAAGTTCCACCTTAGCTTTAATCCTTCACCTATATATTTAGCTATCCTAGTTTCCCCCCCTTTATATAGCAGCCTCTCTCTTACTGTCAACTGTATTAACTTCCTCACTCTATTCATCTAGGGTAATTCTCAGCTGCCATTCTTTTATATATATGTGTGTGTGTTTTTTTCTCTTCATGTTTGTTAGGTGGTATAAATTAAAGTTACTATTTATTAGATTGTGTTTGGTTTAGCAGGCCGGATATAAGGAAATAATGTTATATGTCTTAATTCAGTCCGTTCAAGAGTTGAAACTCCAAACCACGTTTAGTTAAGTTATCCATGTAATTTTTATTTTCAATCATGTAATTATTGTAATATTATATGTATTTATTTTTAGTTAGAAATTACATTTTTAGAATAATAGGATATGTGAAATTTCAAAAGAATGTTACATAGATTCAAAACATTCTTTGAATCAAGCAACCCTAATGGTAATTAATATGAGATTTTAAAAAATAATTTTGTAGTTTAAAAATTTACCAAACTATACGTAAACAGTTAATCACATGGAGATTCAAGATAGAGATAAAACGACTTATGTATAATAATGTATTAGTACTTACCATCAACAATAATTAACAAGTTTTTCAACAATATAATAGTGTTAATTGGACTGGTGGTTAGATGAATATTAAAAGAAAAAGTAGACTTGATGTCAATATCTTATTCAACCTGGGCATTCAATTAGTCTCCACCAAATAGGAAATATATCAAGTGTAGCTAGCTAGGTTTCCATTGGTGTACTGAAAAGGTCACAGGACAAGTAAGAAGATACTTGTGAGAGATGAGGATAAGGACATTAGGAGAACCACTATTATCATATCTTTCCAATTCACGATGAAATTTAAAATACTTTTTTTTTATCATATAGTACAGTGAACGCATTATATCTATATGATCAATTCGAACTTGATGCAATGTAAGTCGTGCTTACGGAATTTGATTTATTAAAAAAATTAATCCACAGGTCTTTTAACATAACACACATCTATAAAAATATTATATTACAGTTGTATTAGTAGTTTGTTTATCGATTTCTTGAGTCAAAGAAGTGGATAACTAGCATGTTTCAACGATAAATCATATCAGCTTTGCCCAATTAAGTCATGCAATAAACATAAAAAGGCCATTCTCGATCATATACAGTACACAGAAATAAATAAATAAATAAATGTATGTACATTAAGCGTGCACATATATAAAATAAACATCCTGCGGCTCCTATATATCTCCCTCAAGCATGGCCCATGAAGGTGGAAGCGTCCACGTGAAACGGGAGGCTGCCCACGTGGGAATTGGGTGCGGCGACTAACCACAGCTCGCCATGTGGAAAACCACAACCTGCGACCTCGTGCATGGCACAATGTCGGCATCCGACAGTGTCTGACGTTGGACCAAAAGTGGGGGGGGGGGGGAAGATGGAACACGTTTGGGGAAAGGAAAGTAGGAGTACGTAGTATTATCTAGTCCAACAGTGGTGGAAATTGGGAAAAACTAACAGGCATTAAGGAAAAGGAGTAGTCGCATTTATGGTATCTTTATAATTGTGGCCACAGAAGCTTGACAGGGCCAGTCCAGAGTGAGGAGTGAGTATGTGTAGTGGCGAAACGAGGAAATCAATTGGGCTGTGAGGGGACCCTCCAATCCGCTCTGATCTGCCAAATTCAGCTAGCTAGCTAGGGATGTGACAAACAATATTTGAGCATATTATATATATATATATATATATATGACTGCTTTATTTGGAAAGGGTTTCGTGGCTTTTGTGTTATCATATGCTTAATTGTTGAAATTGTGATTATATTGATTTATGAGTAGTTATTTTGATGTATTACTTCGAGTAGAGTTTAATAATAAAGTTGATTCAATTTGAATTCTCTTGGGTTAGGAGATAAATTTTACATACTTATAATATTATATTGTTAATGGATAGGTATATGATAAATTATTTCTCAAACGTACATATTCATTGATGGAGCCATGAGGCATGGGTCAAAGGTCAATTGGGTTAGGGGTGAAAATTTGATGGTTAATTGGGACTTAGGAAATAATCAGAACCCATGATAAGATTTTTGTAATTTAAACTGGAAGAAAAGGAAGCTAAGTTTGGAAGCCAAGTAATATATAATACGTTAAAGCATAAAGTATAAAATACTAAAGTGTGAAAATAGGGAAAAGGAAAACTAGGGTATGTTTGGCAATGCAAAAAATGGGACAAAAGGGAAAATAACACCCAAGAAAAGGGAGGTCGTTCGCCCCTTTCATCTAGCTGGCTAGTTGGTCTGTCTTAGTCCTCTGGGTCTCGACCGACGACCAGATCACAGCAAGCCCATCGACAGGGATTTTTAGCCAATGAGCAGTGTCATTTGGCCGATTGATTGGTCTAGGCAGTGGGTAGTCTAATAAATGGCAATGAGGATGTTGGTCCAAGGGTTGTCTAAGATCTTTCGACATTGTGGGTAACATGGTAAATTGGCGGGAAAAGTGTCGATCGATAGGGGCACATGTGTGGTTATGGTTTGCTAGACTCCTTAATTAGTCCATTCACTCGTTTGGTCATGTCCATAGTCTTTGCTGCAAACATGGTATAAAAGGAGGCATGCACCTTGTCCCTTCCAGACATCATCACCTCTCATTTGCAACCGAGACTTCCACCTGACTTCTCCACCTT